TTAAGGTACATGAGCATCTACGTGATGTACTTTTAAAATTAGCTTTTCAACTCAGGCAGTGATACCTTGCCACAATGGGGCAACCCAGATAGGTTTGCCTCTGCGCTGCAGTCAAGCAAGACAAGCAGTTAAAAACTCATTGGGGCCATGACTCCTCAGGTCATCAAGGAAAAGATGCAACATATAGATGGGCTTCTGATCGAGGGGTAGACTTAACTAGGGACTCTATTGCACAGGTTATCCATGAGTGTGAAAACTACTTACCTGCTGGGGTGGTGCGAGAAGCAGCAAAGGCCTTGATGTTGTGTAAGCACTGCTCAATAACAAAGTCAGTAACAAAAATGTCTCTGTATTATCAACACTGTTTTCAGCATAAATACAAAACATAGCCCCATGCTAGCTACTACAGAGAAAATTAACTCTATCTCAGCCAAAAACAGCACAATGAGTGCTTTCAGTCTGCTTCAGGGCAAAAGCCATGTAGATGACATTGAAATGAAGGTGAGTTAGGCTAACCTGGTTGAGAAGGGAGTGGAGTAGGTATGCTCACAAGGTCAGTTACTTCTAGGAGCAAATTGAAGAAACTACCATTCTGATATTAGTTGCTGCCTTTCAGACACTTCAGATGTGGTTCCTGACTACTTAAGTGTGTCTGCTCAGTTTTGAGTTGAAATCATACAAATGAACTAAAATAGCCTTCAGCAATGATTTTCTCTCTTGTCAGAGAGTGTTGATTCATGAATGCAGGTGGATGAAAGTCGTAGTGAGTAAAGCAGTTACCACTTGCAGATGTTTGCCCTGGTCCTCTGTGGAGATTGCCACTCCATGACCAAGCAATGCTACAGAAGTTTGGAAGAAATTCCTCAAAGCATTGCAGCTTTCCTTGTGCCTTGCTAAGTCTACTGGCACTGATTCCAGGTTCCCTCACTGCTCAAGGCTGAAAATTTGGGGTTTTCAAGAGCTGCTTCACATTTTTTTCAGCTCTCCCTAACATTGGGTAGCAGTTTGTAAGCAGGAGACTGCCAATCACTGAGAGTATTAACGGCATCAGTTGTCAAACTTCAGTCTTGTTTGGCTGCAAGTCAGTGCTCTGTCCTGTCCTCACCCTGAAATGAACTGGAAAGGCTCATGGACAATCACTACTTCTCCACTGGGAAACAGGACTGAAGGGCGGGTATAGAATCATAGAATCATAGAATCATAGAATCATAGAATCATAGAATGGTTAGGGTTGGAAGGGACCTTAAACATCATCTAGTTCCAACCCCCCTCCATCTAGTTCCAATCCCTCTGCCATAGGCAGGGACACCTTCCACTAGATCAGGTTGCTCAAAGCCTCATCCAACCTGGCCTTGACCACCTCCAGGGATGGGGCATCCACAACTTCTCTGGGCAACCTGTTCCAGTGCCTCACCACCCTCAATGTAAAAAATTTCTTCCTTATATCTAATCGAAATCTCCCTCTTTCAGTTTAAATCTATCGCTTCTTGTCCTATCACTACCCACCCTTGTAAAAAGTCCCTCTCCAGCTTTCCTGTAGGCCCTCTTTAGGTACTGGAAAGCTGCTATAAGATCACCCCGGAGCCTTCTCTTCTCCAGGCTGAACAGCCCCAACTCTCTCAGCCTGTCTTCATAGCAGAGGTGCTCCAGCCCTCAGATCATCTTCGTGGTCCTCCTCTGGACTCGCTCCAGCAGCTCCATGTTCTTCTTATGTTGGGCACTCCAGAGCTGAACACAGTATTCCAGGTGGAGTCTCATGAGAGCTGAGTAGAGGGGCAGAATCACTTCCCTCGACCTGCTGGCCACACTTCTTTTGATACAGCCCAGGATACGATTTGCTTTCTGGGCTGCCAGTGCACATTGCCGGCTCATGTTGAGCTTCTCATCCACCAGCACTCCCAAGTCCTTTTCCTCAGGGCTGCTCTCGATCCATTCTCTGCCCAGCCTGTACTTGTGCTTGGGATTGCCCTGACCCACGTGCAGGACCTTGCACTTGGCCTTGTTGAACTTCATGAGGTTCTCACAGGCCCACCTCTCCAGCCTGTCAAGGTCCCTCTGGATGGCATCCCTTCCCTCCAGCGTGTCCACAACACCACACAACTTGGTGTCATCTGCAAACTTGCTGAGGGTGCACTCAATCCCACTGTCCATGTCTCCAACAAAGATGTTAAATAGCACTGGTCCCAGTACTGATCCCTGAGGAACACCACTCGTCACAGGCCTCCGTGTGGACATTGAACCGTTGACCACAACTCTTTGAGTGCGACCATCCAGCCAATTCCTTATCCACCGAGTGGTCCATCCATCAAAACCAAGTCTCTCCAGTTTAGAGACAAGGATGTCGTGTGGGACAGTATCAAATGCTTTGGAGAAGTCCAGGTAGATGATGACAGTTGCATATGAGCCTTTGTGTCTTCCACTGCTGGTCTTCCCCTTCCTGAGCAGTGACGGAGCACACTCAAGGCAAGACCACATTGGGGAAGGTCCTGGCGCAGCCTTGAGTTTGCTTCAGAGTCTCCATAGAGCTTCCCCTGTGGCACCTGAGCTCTGTAGCAGTACAAGTAAATTTGATAAGCAAATCACGTACTATCAAATGTTATAATGAAGATAACTAATTAAGATCAATCTCTTTAATTGCATTATGGACTTAAACTTTCCAAAGGAGTATGTGCTGTGGAATGATGAATTTGGCAGTCAGACTCCTACATTATTTTAAAAGTCGTAACAAACCATTTGCATGTAGACTTCCCTATCTGTCTGCAGGAGAAACACACACATTTTGTTTTATTCAGAGTGATTTATGAAATGAGTGCTGCTGCAGAGCTGAGTTTTGTGAAGTATGGTCTCAGGTGGGTGTGGGTTAATCACAAGAGCAAGGGAAAAGATGTCCTGCTTAGGTCAAATCTCATTTTTCTGTCATTCTCATTACGTGAAGGCTATAAGGCCAGCCAGGTGTGCACATGAAGAGACAATGTAGGCTGTCATTTTCAAAGGAATTGAAGACATTATTGAAATGCAGTTTACAGTTCATGAAACCTTCAGTAATTGTTACTTTCCACATATTAGTATTTATTATCTGTGTTGTAGCAATAGCAAGTACATTTCTCAAGTAAAAGGTTTTGCTCTGCTAGGTGCAGGAGATGACTGAAGATTTTAGTTGAATACTAGTACAGAAAAGACATGGATTCATTTGTATATCTGTAATTAATATTTCTTTCAATTTTTTCTTTTTTTTTTTTGCCTTTGAAGGACAAGCAAAAGAAAAAGCCCAGTGACTGTTTTGCTGGATACATTTTTGAAACACAGCTGATAGGACCAATGCGGTACTGCACAGCTCTCACTACAGTTAGTTGGCCTCAGTTAGTACACAACCTCTAAACTGCAGCACTAATCTTTCCAGCACATTGCAAGTTTTTTTCTCATCCTTTTGTTTTTATTGCCCTCCTGGATGACTGTTCTTGTTTTAGTTAATTTCTCCCTTTCTTTATTAATACCCATCTGTTCCAAGGGTTCCTCTGCCGAGTTAAAAAAAAAAAAAAGGCATTGGTAAGCTTCGGTGCTGCGATATTTAGAGCATCACAAATCATGGTCATATCATGAAACACACTTGAATGTTTCCTTATGCCCCTTGGTTGAAAGAGGCTGCTTGGAAATGCATCTGCACTTTAATCCTTGAGAACATACATCAGTAAACCAGGGACATGAAATATAAAAATTCTTAATGGAAAGTAAAATAGATGTTTCAGAAAAATAATATGTTGCAAAAGTAAAGGTGAAATTCCTTCAGAGAGACTTTTTTTGAGGCCTTTATTTGTGGCTAACAGAAGTTAAAGAGCTGACAGGAAGAATAACATTCAGAGTTGCATTCCTTTTGCTTTAATACAGGCATATTGTGGTTGTTTCAGCTTGAATGCCTTCCTTCCTCCTTCTGTGACAGCTGGGAGGAATACTATTAAGCATAAGGACTTTTTTTTTTTTTTTACATGTTGCTGGCATATAGGGAAAATAATTAGGAATTAAGCTCCCATCAAGACAAGCATGGAGGAAGGCCCACCAGTCTGTCAAAGAAAGAGTCCTTTGTTTCTTATTTAGGTATTTGTCTTTGTAAAGAGCGCAAACAAGGAAAATTAAGACCTAAGAAGTTTGCTTCAAGTTTCACTTCTTTAAATAGGTCTTTAAAACAAACCTATGTGTTAATATGAGAGAAGAATGCGTAGCTTGCTACACAGAGATCTTGCTTGTTGATTAAAATAAACAGAGAGACAACTTTTTATTAAAGTGTTTGGTTTGTTTTCTAGAATTATTTGGTTAGCAGTGACGTTGAAGATTAAGTCGTAATAGTCATACAGTCATCATCCTATGATAAGAACTCTTTATGTAAGGCTGAAAAAAAGGGAGTTTATAGCCAACAGAAATTATATGCATCTGCATTAGGAAGAATAGACAGGAAATAAATAAAAATGAACGTCGAGGGAGGAGAAGACTGAGCATGAAAGCATGAGTGTTTGGAGGCTTCCCCAAAGCTGTATCTTTTAAATGCCACTTGTGCCAATCTCTGGTAAGATAGGCTAGGCAAACACTGCTTTCAAGTCAACATTGAAGAGTGCTGACTCTTCAACACTCTTGATATTTGCATCAATGAAACTTTGATAATTTTAGTGTGATGGTCAGAAATAATCCTAGAAAAAGTAACATGTCAGTTGTACACATTTAATTTAATTTCACCACACATCACTTGTGCTATGGCATCTGAAACTAAGGCTACTTTAATACAAAATGTTTTCAATATCTGGAGATCCTAGGTGGTTATATTGATAGCAAGAATTCCTTTATGACAATTTCTTGATAATCAAAGTTACCACTGGAATTAGCAAAAAGTTTTTGATAAGTCCATTAGATGTTATAGCTACAAACTCATACATCAGATGCATGCCCTCTCAGGTGAGAAGTGAAATATTTTATTGATTGTGTCAGTAAGCCGCCTCTGTTGTATCTCACAGCTCCCAACCCACCCACCATTCGAGAAGAGCTCTGTACAGCTTCTTATGATACCATTACTGTCCACTGGACGTCAGATGATGAGTTCAGTGTGGTCTCTTACGAGCTGCAGTACACCATCTTCACCGGACAAGCTAATGTTGTTAGTAAGTATAAACCTGCTTTTTTCTAGTTCTATTTCCATATGTTTTCTCTGTAAGCCAAGTGCCTTTAAATATAAATGTACTTATATGTCAAGAACAAAAGGAAAAAATATTTTCTAGGAAGGTTTAATGCCAAAATTTTACATCCAAACTAATACTGATTTCAAAATGTTTTAAAATTCAGAATTATTTCCATTAAAATTTCTTGTATCTTTTCTGGGAGTGCCATGTAGTGGGACCTTTTGAAGACTAAAACCAGCACATATTCCCAAAGGCACAGATATTGCCCATGCTAACAGGGCTTGTCTCTTGCTTCCTAGGTCCCTTGTTGCAGATGTAGCAGGGACAAAAACTTCTGTTCCATTGTCTGAGCTAGTCAAGCACTTCAGACCCTATGTTGAACTGGTCATTAGAACTGCAGCTCCGCTGTCATTTAGATACCCTTGACAACTGACCCTTCATCAGAAATACAAATTAAGTCCTTCCCTCTGATTTTTACTGTCTTCAAGGCTACAAAGCATACATCAGTTTGTATACTGAAGGATAAGGCAGCAGAACAACAATTAATATGGTAACTTTGTTCAACTTCTAATGGCATTAACAATCGTTGCTTTATATTTTGTATTGTAGCACTTTTTTTATTAAATACATTCACAGATTCAGAACAGACTTTCCTTAATGAACAAACTTACTAATCATTCCTTGGATTGTTTTGTTATTAAATAACGATTCCTCTGAGAAAACAATGTTGTCTAATCTTTGGCCAGGAAGTCAACACTTCGGAGTTCAGTGCATAGTGGTCATTGACTATGAATTTGGAGAAGTCATTTAGCTTCTTCCTGTTCCCCGTGTGTTTAATGGGAATACCACTAGCTGACACGTACTTGCTTTATGAAACAAAGATTCTGAAGTGAACCAAATCAATCAAAAGGTGGAGTTTGCTCAGTCGACATGTATTTAAATTGGGAACTCATTGCTGCAGCAGGTTGTTGTGGTTTTGAGTTCAAGAAATGACTGGACAGATCATGCAAAAAAAAAATCCACTGAGAACAATGAAGTACGGAGACTTCCTCCTGGCTCAGGAAGTCCCAGAGCTGTAAGCTGTTGAGGCCTAGGAGACCGTGGTGAGAAATGGTCGCTGTATGCTTTCCCTGTTTCTTAACACCTTCCTATGCTCTTGCTTTTGTCAGTCAGATACCCCAGCCATGCACTGAGCTAGATAGGCTTAGCTCTGACCCAGTGCAGAAGTGTTTTTCTTCTCACACAATTTGTTGAAATTCTTTGATGAAAGTCAGTGCTGTGAACATATTTACATGCTTTACGTCAGTGGAAAGACGGTATGGTCTATGCCAAGTTTCAGTACTGAGCCAAACTGTTGCACTGACTCCTCTGCTGCTGTGTGCACCTCATTTTCTCCATCGCTAAACTGGAGTTAGTTTTCCAAGCCATCTGAAAGGATATCTGAGGATTCACGTGCTGGCATTTTAACACCATTTTTAAGTAGTATACTGCGAATGTATTATGGTATTCAGGATTGCCTAAAATATAAGGTGTACTATTGAAAATTTGATGAGTGTTTTTCCAAAACCTCCATTTCACTTAACAGCCTAATTTTGGACAACACACTGTAAAATTTAAGACTGCTGGAAAAACTAAGTAAACTTCAACACATGCTCCGACATCTGAGCAAGATGGATAATAAAAAAATCTAATAGTGATTTGGAACAAATTGGAGCAAGGTAGATAAGGAAGGAAGGAAAAACTTCCCTCATTAATCACTACTAAGCAGCCAGGACTTTAATACAGTACATTGTTTTCTAACCCATTTTTATCTATGGCTTAATATTGGAAGACTTTATGCAAGTCAGTTATTGATATTATGCGTGAATATGCCAGCAGAAAGGTGTGCCATTTGCACAAATCTGTGATGGGGGTTTTACTCTTTGCTTACTAGTGAATAAATAACAAGGTATTTCATTTTTAGGCTGTATTGTAGGTTTCCCATGTGGAGGTGAAAGCTTTCATCTGCAAAATATGTCTCAATTAGTCTACTTTCAGAGATGCAATATGATAATTTTGAGTATAGCATGAATTGCTCAGTGTGCAATCTGAACGTTTTTTTTATCACTTTGCAAAAATAGTGTTATTAGAAATGTGAAAAGAAAACAAATTAACACTGCAAGAAACTTTGTTTACAAAATGCTCTAAAGACCATAAATGACAGTAGAAAGAAATTAAATAACAGACCTTTTTTTTTTCTTTTTTTTTTTTTTAATGCAGCTAGCTCTTATGCAAATATCCTGGCTGTTAGTTTCAATTTTATTGAAATCTATAATGTTGACCCAAATTAAACACATGTATACATAAGTATATGTCAAAGGGTTTTCTAAATATTGTAAAGCCTTTTTTTAATCTCGTTACTTAATGTAGACTTGAACACCTCCAATGGAGATGTTCTCACCAAATCTAACTGCTACAGATCTGCCCAGGTTACTAACACATGAGGCTTTCCCACTTCATTCTAATTTCCACTGGTACTGGAGATTTGCACACTAATGTCCTGATTTTACTCAGAACACTGCTTAGATGTTTCTTCGCTTTGTTGGATTATATTCTTTGTCCTGCAGAAGGGCCTCGGATCCCAGCTTTTCTAAATGACTTTCCAAGATTGTCTCTAGAATATGGGAGTGTACCTTAGTGGTGTGGTTGAACACAGAGCTATTTTCACCGTAAGTGACGTTAGCAGGCACTGCACTGCAGCCTTCATGTTTTGACGAACTGACGCTAGGTGATAATTTTAAATTCTATTTCAGTGGAATAGATTTTGAATTAGCATTAATTTCTTTCCATTTATGGCATTTGCATGCTGTTGCACATAGTTGTTTTTTAAATTTATTTCTCTGTCATATCCCAAAAAGTTTCCATTAGTATCGTGTGTTGCCTGTAGCAGATAATGTAAACAGGTTCATAGGTTGTCTTCGGTTCTGTGTTTTTGTAGCGATGAATTAGTCACAAGAAAGTAGCTAGAGTACTGCATTAAGCCAACACGCTTTTTTCCCCTGAGGCAATAGGGATCACTTTGCATACATACCCACCTACTGTCCTAGTAGAGACTGTTATTTTGGAATCCATTTCTTAAAACTACATAGCCAACTGACTGCACTTTCCACTCCTCAGTACATTTCTCCCACCAAAGGCATATATTATTCAGAGATTGCTAAGAATTCCGTAACAAAAACAAGCAATGCTATGTTTTTCTAGTGTATTTTGTATCCAAGATAATCAACTATATTCTTTTTTATTAACTGAAATATTGGAGAGTTAACATTTGATGGAAAAGATCCAAATAGAGTATTTCATTTTGAATCCTATTTCATACAGGAAAGATTATTTCCAAATGTGGCCAAATTGTGTGGCTATTAAATGCTTGGCAGCCCCTTTCTGTGTATAAGAGCAATATAGAACTTTAAATTAAGCAGGCTTTTACTAAAGCAGTTGTTCTCAGAGTTATACCATTCACACATTTGCATTTCTGAGAGGCAGCTAATCACCTGCAATCTGCATATTGTAAAGGCTTTTAAAATGACTTTGTCACTAGCTAGCTAACATACATTATAATTTCATTATCTCATTTCAATAAATTTTCAAGTATTTATTGAGTAGACTTTTTTTAACATCACAGAATTGGCTTTAGTGTTCTTCAGGAAGGTTAAAATTTAAACACCTAGTTTTTTACTAGCTCAAATATAAGCTGTTTTCATGAAAACCACATTTCTCTCTTCAAGACAAAAAGCAAATAATTCTCTCTTTCCTGGTAAGTGGAATTTAGGTTAGTTAGTTTCATCAGTTAAATACTAAAATGTACTCTATTAATGATACAGCGTACTGTCAGAACCTTCTCAGTGTTACATGGTTACTCTTCCTGTAAGATAGGATAATTTTTTTTTGAAGGATCTAAGACAGCTAGGAGCCTACGTTTCCATGAAAAACAATGAGCTTATGATTCACCAATTATTTTTTTTATATTCTAGCTTTTGTCTGTTTCTGGAAGTTGTAATTTACTAAAAACAGATTCCTTACAATCTTCAGATTGCTACTTAGGATTTTAGTGAGCATGTTTTGATAGCACAAAAGCAAGTTTGAGATAAAACAAAAAAAATCTTCTGCTTCTTGAAGAGTATAAAAAGTGTATTTCTTTAAAAAAATGCAATGTGTTTTGCAGAAATCCTGCATATATTATTTTCTTTCACATTGGAATGCAGAGTGGAGGTGGAGAGCTATCTGTTACCTTCACCTACTGTATTTGTTCTACCAATTTGAATTGGTAATAATTTATTTAAATAAAGCATTTTACAATAATTAAAATACTCAAGAGATTAAGTAACCTTTGCATGACTTTTGTGCTCCTCTTTCAGTTTTCAAGAAGGTATATTTTATTAAAATATACTCGTGTAAATTTTAGGAGGATTTACACCTTGAGATTTTTCCCATCTGTTTTTTAAAGTGCATCAGCAGCTGACACCAGGGAAATAGCTTTACAAATTATTACCTCCAGACTCTGAGAAACTTGTTTTGAAAACTCACACATCCTGTACGGACATCACTGTGCTCACCGCACCATTCCAGGATGTAATTTAAATTCTCTACATTTTTGTAGGCTACAGTTTTAAAATGCATTGTTTTACCACCTGCATAACCCTGTAAAAAGCCCTGGGTTTGTGCAATAAGAAACCTGAACATGGCCTCGATTAGAAGTGGGCACAATAGGAGACCCTTAGGTCCTGCTGCTGTGCCAGTGAGAAGATGTCTGCTTTCCCACTTGACTTGCTGCGACTGGCACAGAGCTGAGGAGGCAAACGCTACCCTCAGATGCCTGCGGTACCAGGTTACTTACTCATTTCCCTCAACTTTCTTAATCATCCTCTTTTTGTATTCAGAGAAGAAAGGCTGCCCTGACAGGGCATAACCTAAGACAAATTCTTTTGATGCAATAGCAAAATATTCTTTCATGCCTAAAAGCTTAACTTGACTGCCACTGGTTACCATTCTCCATTTTGAAGGATTTCGGACTTATAGTTTAACACCATCAAAACATCATTCTCAAGATTTTTGAATCAAAGTTCAGTTTAAAGCCTGTTATTCAACACCTCACTGTCAGGAAGCACACGAACACGTCACTGAGCCCCTTGGTGCAGAAGCAAGTGCCACGCTTGTTGGGACAGCAAGGTTTCTCGAGCAGAGTAACCGAGTCAGTCACTGCACATCCAACATTTATTGTACACCGGTAGTCTGAGATGCCCAAGACATGAAGGAAAAAGAAAAGAAACCCAAGGTGTCTTGAGTTATCAAAGAAGATAGAGCCTTCCCCTAGAACATGAGTCAGGTCAAACGGAGGGTTCCCAACTCTCTTTATTTAGGGTAAATAAATAAAAAAAAAGAGCATTTAGGGTAGGCAAGGTCCTAACTCAGGAGCTCTGCCCTTTGTTCAAGGCCAGGTGGGATGAATCTATACCTGCCTGCGAGTGTTTTGCCATTAACCCCAGCTGCAGAAGCCAAGATGTAGCAATACACAAAATTTTTGTGGCTCTGCCTTCTGTACACAGAAATCTGAATTAGCCATTAACTGGATTATTTAATAATACTATAATTTACCGTGTATGAGTATTTACAAATTAGTGAGTATTGGGTATGTATAAATCCACGTACACGAGAGGAGAGGATAGGCTGGAGAGGAGACTTATAGGAACGCTACTGTACCTTTACAGTCCTTCATATACCTATTTTGATCCAAGTTTTGTACTTTGCTAAGGAGTGATCAGCCTCTGGAGCGTAACATTAAAAGTGTAATGCAAGCTTGAAAAACGTGCCCTTTAGAGAGTTGTAGTGCCTTATACAAATATAGTTTTGAGGTGACTTAGCAAAAATCTTGGCATTTCTGTGTCTGCGTACGGATTTGTTTATATATGGCCTACGTATGTTATAGACCTTTGCTTTCTAAGTGTGGTTATGGAAGGAGAAGACACTTTGGGAACGCTGTCTGGATTTGTCCCACTTATGATCATATGTTATTTGATACCTCATCAGAGGCACCTGAATTAAAGATTCCTTGGTCATCCTGGACTTCCTCTAAATCCAGTGCTTCATTTTGTTTTAACTTAACACTTATTTTGAAATAGCACCTACGAGTCAAGTAAATGATGGTCTCAATGCAAAAATCAATGTGGTAGTTCAGCTACAGAACACTTGTGCCTTTGCTGTAATACCTGCAGCAAATTTTTATTGGGAAAAGATGAGGATTCCTGTGAGCAGTCAGTAGAATATTTTATGCCAGGAAACTGCTGCTTTTATTTCCTTTCGTCCTCTTAGGAAACTCATTCACACGCCGCCTAAAAAAATAAATATCACTCAGTAGGTACGGTTCAGTGAAATAAGATGTGAACTGATGTTGCTATAAGCAGTTTACCACAGGTGGTAGGCACAAATGGGATTTTCATGGGGTATAACACTGGGTGTTTTTTTTCAGGAGGTAGGCAGATGATTGCTCTATATGATCAAGTTTTTCAGTAGTCTTGAGAAAAACAATTTCTGCTTCTATCCACATATAGCAAACTGTTTGAATCCCTTGAAGTTGATATTTAGGGAGGCTACATGTGGTCAGGATCTTCACTGGATGAAGCATAATGAACATACTGGAATTCTTTTTTCCCACTTTACACCAGGAAATTGCAACAAAGAAATATTCTCATTCTGGTAAATCATGGCCTAAAGGCCACAACGCAGTTAAGAGTTCAGCCACAGCCTTAGTCTTCCAGACTTCAAATGAGAGTGATGCGGGGGTTCATCTCACCTCGTTTCAGATATCTGAAGTTAGAAATCTTGCGTACGCTAGTCACCCAGGCTTCCTCTGTGCCCAAGAGACGAGACACACTTAGGGCAGGATGTTCACTCCTGGCGAAGTGAAAGAAACTACTCACTGATTTCTGCCTCTCCTCAGAGTCCAGAAAATTATGTTATCTTCATTTGATAATGAGGTGATATGAGTCCACCTGAAATTGTGCCTCTGTTACTCGTTTGCACAGCAGGGTGAATAGCTGCCTGCCTCTCAAGGATCTATATAATACAACAGAACTTTGAAACAAAAACTACATAATACTTAGATTGAAATTTGAGATATGAGTTCTGTTTCTAATGATCTTTTGTTATGAAAAGCACATCTCAAATTAGGAAGGAATCTCCCAGTATGGTTATGAATTGTCTATGAATCTGTAAACCTGTATCACAGGTCTTTTTCTTTCAAGTTCTATGTCCAGCAGCCTTTTAATTTTTACTTTACATAAAGGTTTTGTACTGCCTAATATGCAGAGCTGAAATTACTACTGACTTTTAAGGATTCTCTTCACTAGTACTTACTGGTTTGCTGGTAAAATATGAGTTAAAAGTGGAAAGCTGTTTTTTAATAGCACAGTATCTTTCATAATATGTTCTATGCCCAGTAAAAGCAGATACCAAGATGTCTGTCAAGTTCCTAATCCAGCCAAGCATTTTTCTTTTCAGTTTTCCAGCCTTACATATGCACACACATGCATACACTTCCATCTGCATATATCTTTTTCTAGCTGTACAGCTGTATAAAAGATTGTGAATATATATGCACTTCATGAATGTTTAATTTGTTATTGATGTAAATATTTATAATAAGAGAGCAATCAGACTGGGGATCCATTAAACCAGGAGCTGTTCATAATGTACAGTAAGTAATATGAGTGATTGACTACCATTGCAGTTACATCACAGTAGGAAAAAATTATGTAGATGAATAAGTTCATCTAAGTGGAGTATTTCCGTGTTTTGCAGATGATATTGTGCCTTCCTTATTTTACCCGCTTCCTATATATTATTCTTCTGTGGTAGGCATCAAACACACTTGAAAAAGTTTGTAACTAGAAAATTATCCAGTTCTTCCCCAGCTGACTTCTAACCGTGAGGACATAAAACAAAAAGTTGCATCCATTAAATTTACTGGCTTAGCTTAGATCCTGGCAAAGTCAGGAGTGTAAGAGCCAAAGCTTGCTCTGGAGCCCACACTCTGCCCTATTTGGCCTCCCATGATTTGTCTCAGGTCCTGAAGAATGCATACCTGGGTACTGTCAGCAAAGGTGCCTCCCCAGCCCTCCTAGCTTTACTGCTTACGTTAATTTTCTGAGGCTTAAATTGAGTTTATGACTTCAAACAGTAGATTGATGGGATCTCCACAATCCTCTACTCCTTAAGCAATAAAGAATTCCTTGTGCTGGGGTATGAAAAATCTCAGACTGCTCATACCTCCACTGAGTCATTTCTTAAATGTCCATTTTTTATGGTTGACTTCACATAGCAAGAACTTAAAAGGTACCTTGGCTGAGGGCTGATGAAATGAGTTAGTAGCATTAAGCAGCGACTTGGTAAATGAAACAGCACTTTGAAAAGTATGGAAGCAAATTTTGTGTTGGTCCTTGGGCACTTTGGAGTGCTCTAAATGTTTCTCTCTTAAAAAGTCATTTCATATGTTATGACTGACGTGTTCTGTTTGACATTGCAGGTTTATGCAACTCAGCCGACAGTTGGATGATTGTTCCCAATATCAAACAAAACCACTACACGGTGCATGGGTTACAGAGTGGCACTAAGTACATCTTCATTGTTAAGGCCATCAATCAGGCGGGCAGCAGAAGCAGCGAGCCTGGAAAGCTCAAGACAAACAGTAAGTAATGTGAGATCCAGCACGCATGCATTCTTCTCCTTTCTTGCCTTCCTTTTTAGGTTTGATCTTTGGAAGGTGCAAGAGCACAGAGCAGCTTAACTTGTTTAAAGTGCTTCTCACATTGAAAGCCACTTACTCAATTGAATTCAAGATTACTAGAGTCTTCAGTAGTGCAGAAATTTTTTTTTTTTTTCAAGAGATACATGTGTAGTTTGGTCGCTGGAAATATCATTTAGGAACAGAGCCATCACATCTGAAATGATTGAAAATACTGTTTTGTGGTTTTGTTTTAATGTCCTCTCTATTCTTTTTCCTCTACAAAGCAAAAACTTTTCTTATGTTTGCAATAAAATGTTTTATTTTTGTATAACATTCGTAAGATAATTGCTAGTTTAATTTTATCCTCCAAAATGATCTCTTTCTTAGAGCACTGGAAAACTTCCTTAACTCCATCCGCATCAGTTTTTTATGGAGTTCAACAAGGTGGTAGAGTAGTCAGAGATCCCACTTCAAAAAAACCAATGGTTACACAAGCAGATGTAATATAGCAATTTTAAGACTGGTTTTCAGCCTTTTTCTACTTGTGTCCCAACCAATCCCTCAGTTTTGTAATCATCATGGGCAGCTCTGAGCACTGGGAAGGGAACACTGGGATTTGTGCACGCTCTGAAACTTGCTTATTGTCAGGGAGGATGCTCAAAGAGGGATGATACTGAATGTTGCAAGAAGGCGGCTGCTTGGAACAACATGTACCAGTTTCTGATTTTCCCCTTTCTGCTATTTATCTGGCTTCCACTTCTGTGTAAAAGCTGCTCTTACAAACCCTACATCTGCTGCCAAGAGAATCTGTGTATTGTTAAACCTGGTAACCTACAAGCAAATGCAGAACCAGGGACTCATCTGGAAATGGCAATCTTTTATCCTTTTGTGTCTTTGTGACCCAGTGTGACACAAAAGCAGTCTCTTGGGTGACTGTGAGAAATAATGTGACCAGATACACTTCAGTACAGAGAAAGGCATCCTTCAGATACTGCTTCAACAACACAAAGCCTACTAACTAGACAGAGGGAGGCCGTAGGTATTTTATTGCTACTGAGTGGTAAGAAAGAACATGTAAAATGTGCCCCCAAATATTTTCCAATGGGTTCATTTTATACTTCATCATAATACATAACTAAATACACAATATGAAAGCAGATTATAACTCTAAAGCTAAAAGTATTCCCTATCTAATTCCTGACCCATCTCTGATAACGTTAACTGAGAATTGGTGTTGCCGCAGTCGTCTCCCATTTTAAGTGTCTGCGTTTTCAGATTGCGTAGAGGTCTAAACCAACACGCATTGACTGTCACTGTTCAGATGAACTTAATTTCTTCTTACCCCCACATTAATGCTTTCAGGATCACTTAATGAGAAATGCTTAGCTGGCTGCTCCTTCATAAACTCTAAACAATTTCCATTTTATTTGTAGTACATGTGTCAGTGCCTCACAGACCGCATGAGAGGGCTTATTTCTGCTTTCTGTGCATGTTGTCAAATCTTCTGCTCACATTTTTTCCCCTTGATATGAAAGACAGTCAGAAGGGAAAAGGGCTTTGCTGGACCACTGATGGAGTCATAGTTTCCTAGTTGTCTCCTGATGGAGGTAAACGATCGATCTGCTTTTTGATGCAATGAGCAAGCCTGTCAGAATTGTGGCAGGCTTTATATATCTACAGGATTCGGTTTACCAAAAAGTTTCCTGTTATTGTCTGCAAACCTTGTGCTACAGCCAAAGATACTTGCCAAGAGCAACAGCCTCAGTAATGTTTTTACACCATATTATTTTGACCAAGTTACAATTCACTTCCTTCTTTTTAATGCACAGTATCCAGCACCACATGGGCGTCTTTCCAAAGCAATCCTGAATTGTTGACTGTGCTTGTTATACATAAAGCTGTGAGTGAAAGAACAGACAAGACTAGGGCTTCTTCTTATTTTCAAACTCATTTTGTGGGATTTGAAATCATATTTTTTGTTGTAACAATGAAGATGTTATTATGGAGCTTTATCCCTATAGAATTACTAGAACATAACTTATTCTAAATCTAATATGCTGTGAAAAAAGCAACCCTCAGACCTTTATTAGCATGTGTATTGGTTTCAATTACATGCAAGAATTAGAGTATTCAGGTTACCTCTAGGTCAGAGATAATGGGCACGATGATTATGCAGGGCTCTTTTCAGGGATTATCCACGTGGGGAAGTTAGTGCACAATGAAATTGACAGTAAACTGACAATGCAAACTAGCTATTGCAGGGAGCAGAATAGGTTAGTCTGTCTCAAGAACGCTTCAGAGAAGATTAATATGGTTATGTAATCTTGTGGGCTTCCTAGAGGCTCACCAATCCACTCTCCTTTTCAAAACCAAAGCCAAACCATTCTTCTGCCATCTTTGTCTCTGTGTCTCTAGGTCAGCCATTTAAACTGGACCCCAAATCTGCTCATAGAAAATTGAAAGTGTCTCATGATAACTTGACAGTAGAACGTGATGAAACATCCTCCAAGAAGAGTCACACACCAGAGCGATTCACGAGCCAAGGGAGCTACGGAGTAGCTGGCAACGTGTTCATTGACAGTGGGCGGCATTACTGGGAAGTGGTTATAAGCGGGAGTACGTGGTACGTATATAAAAATCTTATGTGAAAGGAACCACTAGTTCACACCAAAGGTCCATGCAGATCCGGCACAGTTTCTCTGAGAGAGACCAGTAGCAGAGGCATGGGGAACAGTACAAGAGCAGGACAAGCATATACTTTCATATTGTTTGTCAGACTATTTTACCAATCTCCAGCACTTTCAGGCTCTGGATCTAAGCCTGCCAGATAAAGTATCTTTATACTTAGCGGGCTTCACAGGACTTTTACTCCTTGGCTTGGGATGGTTGTTTTTTGAACCAACATACAGTACATTTTAAGATTTTAGTGAACTAGAGAGCTCAGAAAGTTTCATGTTGACTATACAACAGAGTAAACTTTGTAAGTGTGATCATTTCTCTACTAAATATGAAAGACCTTAGCATCTTCCAGTAAGAAAAAAAAGACAATAACACAATATGAGGACAATTTGATGATCCAGTTTCACATATTAGCTTCTTGGGAGGGGATGAAGAGCAGCAGTGCTGTAGGTCTGTGCCCCAGGGTATGAAGCAAGGGGCAGGAAACGAAGGACTGCATTCCTCTGATCCTGAATGATCCTCTGTGTCATACAAGGGTGAATTTCAGGGGCCCTTTAGTCAGTAAAAGTCATCATCCTTTGGAATTCAAAGGCAACAATCATGATGGAAGTTAATGGAGTGGAAAAATCAGTAAGATCTTCAGGTATGCCCACTGTCTCAAACAAGACAAATGCTGTTTGACTGTGCCAACATTAAGGACTGGAAGTAGAATAACTTATGGCACATCAATCTCTGTTGCTTGAAATCTCAACAAATACTGCAGTGTCTCAAGGATGTGAGGAACTTTTACATTTCTATTATAGATGAGAAATCAGGTATTTGACCTTGATGTCCATTAATGAGAACCTTTTCACAATCCTTTTAGCCTGCACATCTTGCCATAAATTACAGTTTGCAGAGCAAATGTCTTCACCTTCAATTGCTTCACTTGGCCCAAAACTCAGTCTCAAAAAAACTTATTTGAGTTTAAAAACCGCATCAACATCTGGCAAAACATATTTGAGAATGGCAAAAATGTGTTTTTTTTAATGTATCTTTTGATGTTTACTCTTGCATTTCTTCTTCTGAGCCATGTATTAAAGGAGCAAGGAGAGATCAGATTAGCTGACAAGTAGCAAGGTATTTTAAAATCAATGAATTCCTCTGTATTCATCTGTTTGGAAGTGGAAATTTGAGGCCCACTGATGTGAACTTTGAGTTGCTGAGTACTCAACAATTTTCCTTTTGAATACCAGAAGTGAATGCTCAAAAAAATTACCATAGCACCCAAACTACAAACAATGCGAGGGACAATAAAGTTTCCTGGACCTCTCAGACCCAAAAGACAGTTGGGGAAAAACATTATTTAGGCCTGTGTAGATATTGCATTGAAATGTCACTTAATTAGAACTTAACCATCAGAAATAAGAGGCTGGGGCATTCCAGTCAGTCCTCTGGGCTAACATTTGACTTCACCAAGAGACAAGTGTAGCGGGAAGCATTTGTTTCCTTGAGTTGTTTTTTCTTTTGCAGGTATGCCATCGGTATTTCTTACAAGTCAGCACCAAAGCACGAGTGGATCGGGAAGAATTCTGCCTCCTGGGTGCTTTGCCGCTGCAATAACACATGGGTGGTGCGACACAACAGCAAAGAAATCCCCATCGAGCCTGCACCTCACCTCCGGAGGGTTGGGATTTTGCTGGACTATGACAACGGTTCCCTTGCTTTTTATGATGCTTTGAACTCCCTACACCTTTACACTTTTGACATTACATTTGGGCAGCCGGTGTGCCCCACGTTCACTGTGTGGAATAAGTGTTTGACCATTATAACTGGCTTGCCTATCCCTGACCATCTAGACTCCTCTGAGCAGCTCGCATGACTTCTAAAAGCCGAAAGGTAGGATGACGTGTCTTCCCAGGGTGGCCAGATGGCTGCCCACAGAAGCTTACCTGGAGCTGGTGGACCACATGGCATCCCGGCCATCGCTGCCGAATCCAGCGAGAACTGAAAAGGGGAGAATATCTCTTTACTGTGTACTCTGTACAGAAGGACAAGAAGTGGCTTTAATAATATCTTAGAACTTTCTTTTGCTGTTGGGTTTTTTTTCAGTTGGTTTTGTATTTAGTCTCTTACAGGAAGATTTATAAATTATTTATAAAAACAAAACAAAAAAAAAAGGAGAGAAAGGAAAACCTGGTTTGGACACCTGGAAAATGACTTATTTGCTTTGCACATTGATGGTCCTATTAATTAAAGTTTCATCAGCCCTTTACATCATTTTATTTTACAATAGATAAACGCAGGAAATTGAAAGGATGAAAACTGTGCAGTGGACAAGTCAGTATGTGGCAGGTTTTATTCGTGCCAATATCAGTGCTCCCATTACCAGTCTTACTGAGTGTGAGATCTCCTAATTCCTACTTTGCACAAGGGAGTGTGCAGACCAAAAAGAAGAAAAATAAAAAAGTGAGGAAGTGGAGCTAGCCAACACAGCAAAAGAAGAAATTTTAATTTACTTCTGTTCACAGGGCAGTGCTCTCTCTGTTCATAAAAAACGTGGAATATCTCCTAGAAATGTGAGTGGTTAAATCATCTGGTGATTTACTTTATTGATGGTGACATTCCCATCTACCAATGCTTCGCCTTCATCTTTGGCAAACATTGTAGAATCACTGAGGATGTGAAAGACTGATACCATCTCTGAAAATCAGCGACGCTGGAGAAGTGCAGCCAATCCAAGGTCTGACTGTAGATTGATTTGTTAAAGCATGGCATCATTTAAAGATTGATTGTAATAGAAGATGTCACGGTTCTGATGGTAGACATGTGAATGCTTATTGCTGATTTTACAAGGTTCAACGTAGCAAGCCCAGCCAACAAGTCGGAAGTGAGACATGCACCACTTTACCATTGATTTTAAATTAAATACAAATGTTTCATTGTCGTACACTATGTAGTCTCTATAACAAAGCAAGGAAATCTGTTTTACATATGCTGTGTGGAGAAACACTGCAGCTGGGGTTTGCTCATAGTTATCATTGTCCTGGGTTGTTTGGGAAAGCACAGTTCTCTTTGTGAATGAAGAGTAAATAACAAGTTTTCAGCAGCAGTAGGAATCTGCACGGGCAGGCCCTACATTGATCCTGGTGCTGGTGGATGAACTTCACTGAAGACAATAGAGGTTGTACCTACTTTATCTCAAAGCTGAATCAGGTGCATTTTTTTTTCCTCTTTTCCTTCTACAGAACAGAAGCCCGTTGTAATTGCTACAAAGCTTATGTATAAATGATCATTTTGGGAGATGCTTGAGGCATATGACAACCTTAAAAGAATGGTGTTCCTACAGCGTTTTCTTATTGCTATGCAAGTGGTGAAAAAACTGCCTGTATAGAAAAAGAATAAATTGAGTATCAGCTTTAGGAAAAGATTTGCTGAGTAATTTATAATGATGCTTTAGGTGTCTTTTGAAAAGGATACCTTAATGTACTTTGTTCACTAATGGGTCAAAATAATATGGTCCCAAGCTCAGCTCTTGTTTTTTTGAGTACTGATTCTCCAGGTACAAAGCTGTGCTACAGTTTGCCTTATGATGATGTAGAAAACTTATGAGTAAGATGAAGAACACATACATGCCTATTTGGTCTTTTCCTTTTTTTAATTGAAAATAAATGTCTACCTATGTTCCTTTGATTTCCCTTTACATGCCCTTCTAACTATTGAATTAAATGGAGAAAAGCCTGGCAGCACGTTGCTGGTACCATGGCTTTCAGCTGAGGCAGCATGCCATGGTTCACAGGTAGGAGCCACTAATCTTTCCAGAGTTGACATAAATAAGGGAAAAGGTGTACATATAGTAAACTGCAGTGTTTATCATAGTGTCTTTAATAACCAAGAAATGTATACCCTCAAAAATGAAAAAGTAAATAGATCACCAAACATTACATGTTTTAATTGAGCACAATGTTACCAATACAATCTGAAGTACATTGCTAAGATGATCTGGCCTCAGATGTTTGAGGGGTAGCTGAGATGGCATGAAAATTATGATAGTGAGTTGACAGAAGATGACTGATGCAAAGCAGTGATAAAAAGATGCAGGAGGACAAGAATTTTAATGTAGGATTATTACCAAGTTTCCACCTAAAAGGAAAGGATATATTACCAAAGTACTTCTAGCAAGGCTGTGTATCTTCTCTTTTGCCAGAAATATTAAATCTAGAAGCTGATTTCAGTAATGGACAAACTGAAAACACTGTTTAGTGTTTGGCCATATAATATTGACAGGGATTGAGCTGGATGGAAGTAGTACCATGAATTTGGAAAGATCCCAAATGATCTCACATGCTGTCATTGTCAAGATAGACCATGAGTCTGAAGATAGATCATGGTTTTGGCCAATGGAAATACAACAGTCTGTTATCTACAGGCCTTGCTATATCACTTTTATTTTAACACAGAATACTTCATTTGAAGCTAAGCCACATTTCTCCAGTTGACTATTAATTCAGTCAATACTCTTTGTGCATAAGTGTTTGTGTATATATGTACACATATGTATGGGCACGCAGACACCAGTATATGCACAAATATAGTGTAATCTGTGTATATGCATACATACATATATACACATAACACAAACTGACAGTAATTAATCAGGTGTTCCTTTTTTGCTTGTTTCTTGAACAATTTCATATTCTGTATGTCTATGAGGAAACAAGTTTGCTATGAATGGTATTCTTCTGGACATTTTTTAAAGAAAAAAAATCTGTTTATTTTACAATACTTGATTCAATGCCTGATTAATCAATAAAAACATCCATTTGAAAATGTAGCTTCTGTGGTCTGTGGCATTTTGCATGGTCCATAGTAATCAATTGAAATCTGGGGGTATGGTAATCCTCGTGTAAAAATAAAATGTGGTACTTTGATGTAGCGTGCAGTCTTAGATGAGGGTTTTTCCTTGATTTTTGAAAGTTTTGTGACTAGGAATGAGGTAGCATTGTATAATGCCATGTTTAAGAAAGGCAAATTTTTGAGGAATAGTCTGCAGAGATGCAAGAAGTGAATGTAGTATATAAACCCTGTGTTGGTATGATGATTGTTTCAAAGGTGCATTTAAAACCCAAGCTGGGATTCAGCAGTTAGAACAAACTATGGCACAGTCTCTTTAGAAGACGGTAGCATCGGCTCAGAGTAGTCAAAGCTTGAGGTAGTGGAACAGTGAGGGACTTTTTTCTCTCTAAGGCCAGATAAGATTTTCCATCTGTTAGGCTCCCATGTGTTAATGCACGTCTAATGGGGAAAAAATTGTTCAGGAATGGGCTGTATGTCATAAATCATTTAGTAGACTGTCTCCAGCCCACTGTAGTTTGCCGTTGTTGGTTTTCAGAGAGCAACGAAGTTTCCGGATTTTCTGCCATGAGTTTATTCTTTGCCTGTTTTGAATATCTCATTTCTCAATTGCTCAGTTCCCCACTGAACAGTGTAGTCCCAAGGACAGGAAGCTTAAAAATCTCTCAGGTACACTGTGAAAAGCTGGAAACCTGCAAGTATGGGTGAAAACACGTTCACGTTCTTCATTGTATTAGCAATAGTAGGTCACTAAACAGCGGTATGCATTATCTGTTTTAATCCTGCGACTTAATTGCAAAGATTGCATTCTTTCCATGTTAGAAAATGCAACAGGACAGTATTGAAAGCACGAATTAAAGTGTCAGCTATTTAACCATTTCATTTGGAGATGGCCAGCTTTTATAGCACTATGAAGAACTATTGGCTGTGGGAGATTTCATTAAACAATTAATTGACATCGAACACAGTTTAAGTCTTTCTTTCTTAATTATTCTGATAAAGCAGATGCCTAGTAGCTTCAAGATTCTGCTTTTAGTTACAACAGCACAAATTCTAGATGAATCTGTGCACCAAAACAAAGCAAGAATTGCCAGTGGCTCTTATCTGTATCACTGAAAACAAAGCTATTCGTTTTAATTGGAAACGCTGCCTTCGTTTCTGGTGTAGGAGTGAAGAAGTGTTGGACCTACACAGAAATATCTGATCTCTCCAGTGGTGGAAGCGTGTATGAAAATATAGAAATGTAAAATGCAGTATTTTCCTGTGTGATTGGGTTGGTTGCCCATTTAGAAATTAGCAGTGTTCTGAATTTCAGCCTTAATTTTTGTCTTCTCCACGTGGAGGAAAGCCCTGGTCACTCCCAAGTGCTGATGGCGGATGTTCTAGATTATGCTGAGCTATTTGTTTTTATTGCACTTTTTGAAGTGAAAGAAACTCTCTTTAGATTTCAACCTTTGATTTAGCACTTGCTGTTCATATAAAAAAAAATAAAATAGACTAAAGAGCAATGCTGTTAACAGTGCTTCAATGTGGATAAGACTCTTGGTTTGGACTGTGAGGCTTAAGGCATATGTGTACATAAATCTCTGTGCCGGGATAGACCGACTTGTCATTCATGTGGGAGTTGAACAGTAGAGGTGCCAGTGTTTTCTTCTGAGGTAGGCTTCTGCGCTAACTCCACTCTTGGGATGTAATACTCTGTTTCTTTAATTTTTATAAATTAGTTTTCTGATTCAAGTGCAGACCATTCTAGTAAGGCTGTAAGTAAGATAATCTTTCATAATGTTACTTATTTTAGCAAACCCTACTGTATCATGTGCCTCTGGCAGGTTGCTGAACACATCAACTGCAACCATAACCTTTGCCACATCACTTCCAATGTGTGAACTGATGTTTAAGCCATTGACCAAGTATATATCTTTCCCAGGGGGGATTCATCTTGCTTTGAGTAAGGAACTCTAGCACAAATGGTGATACTAGTTCAAGGTGAGAGCCTCATATACTTCACAAGGATGATATAGGAAAGGTATCATCTTGAATACCATCAGAGGCAGTTCTGGTTTAGAAGGTATTAGGAAGGCATGAAGTCTGCATTTTTTTGTCTTATTCTCCTACACTGTGATCAACAGCGTCATCATTACTGCTGCCTGAGAGAGGGACAGAGGTAGCAAAAGAGGGAGTTCTGGAGCAGCGATGAGAGAGGTCATTCGAAGTGAGAGGACAGCTGGAAACCTGCCACCACTCCCTGCCCTGGCACCATGCTGCGGCTCTGCAAAGCAAGTCTGCACCTACTCTTCCTTTTGTTACAGCT